TGCAGAGCATTAAGTATTGCTAAACAAGAAGTGATATTAAATAAATATTAAAAATTAAAAAATATATATAAATTGTCAAACAATTAAGAAGTGATTACGCAATTGGATCAACAAGATTGTATCAATTAAAGTAAATTATATAAAAAATAATTAACGGTTAGGCAAGTAAAATATTGAGAAAATTTATAAAATTTTATAATTTTTTTTATATTTATTATTTTTATTAAATTTAGGAATTGTGTTCAAACTTTCAAAATATAAAGATACAGATGAAGACATCAATAAAATTGAAGATATTATTGTAAATCATTACAAAAATAAAAATAGTTGCACATATCGTGCAGTATTTTATGAAATTAATAATAATATTACTGTTTTATTTAAAAATAGAAAAAAATACTTATTATAAAATAATTTTAAAAATGACTGTAAATTAAAGAATTGTAATAAAGTAGTAAGAAATTCAAAATTTAAGAATAAAAAAATAAATGTTAAATATTTATTTCATAAAATAAATTTATCTGATATAAATATTATATTTTTGTATGAAACATACATTTATAGAAATTATCATAAAAATAAAATATGTCTTTTAGTAATTCAAAATGTTAAGATAAAAATTTCTATTGCTAAGTAATATAATATATTTATTTTTTAAAACTATTTCTATTTTATCAGATATTAATTAGTTCACATTATAATATCAATGAGTTTTTTTTTATTATTAATAACTATTTTATGATCTAATTTTATGGATAACTTTATAACATGATTATTATGTCTATAATTAATTACATGATAATTATAACTATAATTTGATTAATGATTTTATTTAAATTTTTTTCCAATTATATTAGCTAAAGGTTAACGCTATTGCATAATATATGGTAAAAATGGACTAAAAATATCAGTTAATGACGAACTGAATTGTATAAAAAATTTGAAGAATGGATGGAAAATAAATTTAATCGCTAAGTCTGTTATTATTTATAATCCAAAAAACGCATTCAATGTATAATTAATAAGTATATTATATAAATTTTAAAAATCTTAATTATTGATAGTTATAGACACGCCAGTGCTTTAATCCGTATTTATTTATTAATTTTTGAGTTTGGCTTAAATTAAACAAAAAATAAATTATCTCCAAAATTAACAAAATCGAAATTACTTCAAATAATTAAAAATAAAAAAATATAAAAAACAATATATAATAGACGAAATGATTAAATAAGCAGATCATAAACCACTTACTGTCTTACTTTATATTGTTGTCGAGATATTTATTAATTATTTATAAATTTTAAATTATTTATTTAATAATTGTATTTTTTTTTATAATATTTAAATTCCATCAAATTATTCAGGGCACAATAGAAGGATATTATATCTAAAAAATAATATGGGATTTATTAATAATTATTTTTTTTAAACTTATATTACTAAACTTACTAGTCTAAAATTTTTATTTATTTATGAATTATTAGTATCTATTTATTTATTTATATTTAAAAAAAACAAAATTTAATTTAAGACAATATTTATATTTATTATTATTATTTTTATTTGTAATAATACGCGCACTTTATTTGTATATAGCTTTTAAATTGTTTACAATGTTATGTTGGAATAACTTTATATAATACATATATTTATATTATATACTAAATATAATACAGTATATACTTTAGCATAAGTTATAGTACATATCAATATTTATAAATATAACAGGTGGTTTTTTTTTTAAAAATAAATAATTAATTATTAAAATTTGTTGGAATTTGTTATTAAATTTTGTTTATACTTTTGTATATACTCTAATAACTTATATTAAATAACTAATAAATTAATTAAAACAATAATAATAATAATAATAATTTTCAGCTAGTTTTTATTTGAAATTTATTTTTTATTAATACAGTAAACTATAAAATATATCAACTAAAATATTATCTAATACACAATATCTAATAATAAACTTATGCACAAAAAACTTATTATATATTTTTAAACATTTATTTAAGTAAAATAATATAATAATAAATTACAATCATTTAAAGCATTTTATATACATTAGATAAATACAGTATATATGTACTAATTATAATTAAATAATTTAAACTAAATTTGTTTTATTAATTTTATTTGGTCTCAGATTATAGCTATAACTAGATTGTTGTGGACGGTTAGGTTGATGATTAGGATAACCATAATTATTATAATGATTATTATTATGACTATTAATACTAGACGATGATGATGGTGGTGATGATGGTATTGATAATAATGGTTGTCCAGATCCACCACCACCACCACCTAAACCCACCCCTGGACCCCCTGAACCACCTAATCCTCCAAAAATTGTTGGTTTTGTAGATGAGTTGGCTATCGTAGTGGAAAATCCATTGAACAGATCGTAAATATTGAATAATGTTTTAAACAAATCATTTGATGATTGCTGTGAACTAATATTTGAACCGTTTTGCCACATATTTTGCTGTATATATTGATTAAAATTGACGGAAATCAATGAATTGTGTGTCAAATTTTGTTTCGGATTATACGGTAGACTATTAACTGGTGATCGGGTTGACTGATATATAGGTTGATCATATCGTTTACATTGTAACGGCTTTATTATTATTGTTAGAATAATTGTCATAATTATTAATAAAATATTTAGATTATTATAAACTTTATTATAATTATTATTAATAGTAGTATTAGTAATATTACATATAAAAACATTAAATAACATAATTATAATTTACTTATATATATACAGTATATGTTGTTATTAAAACAAATTTTTCTCAAAAAATGTTTTAATTCAAAATTGTTACATTTTGTCAATTAATATTTAATTCAACTTTTAAAAATTTATTTTTTATTTTATTTAGGAAATATGTTTGTTCTAGTTTACATACAAAAATAAATGTTTTTTTATAATTAATTTGTTATAATTTTAAAATTAAAAAACAATTTATGTTATACTTTTTATTACAATTATAAATATTCTTTATATAAAATTATTTAATTAACTTGATAATTTTTTAATAAAATTTTCTTTATTTTTTATATATTTTTAAAAAAATAAACTATATTCTGTTGTACTCTATATAAATTATCATTAAATTATTATTATTATATTATTTTTAATAAATTGCAAGTTACAGTTTTATTTTTTTCAAATAATAATAATTGTTTACATATATTAATAAATATTTGAAAATTGTTATATTATTTTAATTTATTGTTATATTACTAAATAACAATTATAAAAAAACAAGTTATAATATATTTTATACCTAAACTTTAAAAGTTTTATAACTTTAAACTTGTAAAACATTTGGTTTAATTCAATGTTTAGTTAATTATATACTGAATATTATGATAATTAATAAACAAAATTTAATTTATTACTTAAAAATTGTTTTACTTTATATATATATATTTATATTATTAGCACACTTTAATTCAATAAATAATAGATTATTTTGAAAAAATATGCTTAAAATACTTTAAATACATTTTTCTGTGGAAAAATTTTGACAAAAATTATTTTAAATAATAAATTGTTATTGAATTACAAAATTAATTTCTAAAAAAAATCTCAATTAATATTTAATAAACAGCACGTATTATCAAATCAAACAAAAAAAACAAACAAACTATTATTCAATAATAAAAATTAATTTACACTATATATTATATAATAAAATAGGATATATAAAAATAATTTATAATTTAATTTTAGCAAAAAATTAAAGTATATGTTAATATTTAGATATTTAAAAAAAATTAATTTCATTCAATTATTAACTGTGTGTGTGTATCAAAAAATTAAAAATATGTTAAAATTATCATCATCAATTAAAATTTGCTGCCTTATATTAATTGGTACAGGTACATTATTTGTCCAAAATGTCCAGGCTGATTCAAGTTGTTCAATATTTGATATACCCAAAATAATATTACAAATGACCGGCTTTAGCAAACAACAATTGACTGCTGATAAAAAACCTACCTGTCCTCAACCGGAAGTTATTGCTGGACTATATGACAAATTGAAAACAACATTGGGTCCATTTTCGCTGAGCGAAATAGACAGCAATATAGTTAGCGGCTATAATAAGGAACCGGTAGATACTGTATTGTGTTCACCAGATCTGACCGATCAGGAAATGTGTGGGCAATTGGAAAAAATACATCAAAATTACTGTTTGAATGATGCGACCAAAGCCTATGTACTCAGTCAGGAAACCTATGATTATTTATGTCTAACCCGTTATGACAATAAAAACTACTGGCACTTATGTGACAGTCTACAGTCGGAATGTGTGAAAGGGATATAAATTATTTTATTTTTTTTTAATTATTATCTTAATTTTATTTTTGAAAAATATGCCGATTATTATATTTTTGCAAAATATTTTTCAAAATATTTTTTTTTATATATTAATTAAAAAATAATATTATATACTAAAATTTAATTTGTGTTTTTAAATAAATATTTTAATTAACAATTTATTAACAATTAACAATTTATTATAAATATATATAATTTTTATGATATTAACATGTTTATTAATAAAATTATTTACAATAAATTATAATGTGTATCGATATTATAAATTTTTGCTATTGAATTGTAAATTTATAAATATTATAATTATTTTTAATAAAAAACATATTTATAAATTTCTAACAAATATTTATAAAAAAACAATAAATGTATGTACCTTTAATATACCGGTATTATAGTTAATTAAAAAACACTAAAAAGTATATATAAAATATTTTATTAAAAAACTAACTGTAAAATAAACAATTTGTTATAAACTTAATTAATAACTAATAATAATTTAATAATTATAGTGATCAAGATCATTAAAGTTTATTTTATTAAATATTAATAATAATTTGTGTATAAATTTTCAATAAAATTAAAATACTATTAGTCTATTATTAAAATATAAAAATAATATAATATATTTAAATATAATATTTACATTAATGTTTTTTGCTATCATCTTTGATATCATTTTGATTTGTAATATTATAGTTGCCTTCAAATACAGAGTCAGTCAATGAAAATCTCGGTGCTATACGCTCTTCCCGGCGCTGATCGCTGGCCAGCCGTTTGCCAATAGCTAGCATACACTCGACCCGATCGACCGACCGATCGATACCCAGCACATCGTAGGTACGGTCGTAATCAAAACCGGCCATTGCATGCAACACCTGATCCCGGGCCGTAGCTTCCAATGCCATTGACATACAAGCGGCTCCCGTATCAAAACTATGTGTCGGATTGTCCTGAACGACAAGGGGGTCCGACCGGTATCGGTAGTTGCGATGCGATATTACTACTACCAGTGCACCGGCCCGTTGAACCCATAGCTGATTGCGTGGCCAGAGTAGATTGAAAAATTTTGACCAATGTTCGGTACCGTTGAGGGCATAGACAAAACGCCAGGGTTGTAGATTGTGAAAGGAGGGCGCCCACCGGCCCGACTCAAACAGTGCCAACAGCTCGTACCGTTCGACCGGTTCGCCCGACATTTCCCGTAGGGATGTGCGCGACAATATCAGTGGATGTAACCGGTAGTTAGCATTACGACCCTATTTATGTTTAAAATGTCGATAATATAGGCACACAAAAATTGGATAAAATATAAAATTAATTATTTAACAATAACATAAAAAATAAATACTTAAATAAAGTTATAATTTTAAAAAATATATATTTATAGTAATAAAATATTAATTATTACTATCTATTAGTAAAGTTATAATTATTTTGTTATTTTAATTATCGATTTATTACATAATGTAAAACTTAACTTAATAAATAATATATAACAATTAAAAAGTAAAAATATAAATTACCTCGATAATTTTATCATCATAATGATAGTTGATGTTTTCATTGGACATTTTATTGACAAACAAATTTGACTAGATGAAATAAATATTTTTTAAACAAAAATATATTATTATTAAAAATTCATAATTTAAAATAATATATTACTAATAATATATTACTAATATTACAAAAAAACTGTAAATATTTTTATTATTTTTGAAACATGTGTACATGACAGCCATGTAAACGTTTCCATGGCAACCAAATAAGCATATAGACAATTCATATATTAAATATTATTTCAAATTTACAGTTAACAAAAATATTGAGTTTTTTAATAATAATTTTAGCTTTTAGCATGTATAATTTATTTTATTTTTTAAAAATAATATAATCAATAATATACTATTTAAAAAAAATTAAATTACTCACCAATTTTATATAGGTACAATAAAATTAATAATAATTATAAATATATATATATATTAAATGTGTAAAACAATAAATACAAATTACTATAACAACAATACTGCAATTTAAATACTATACTAATATTTAAAAATATATATATATTTATTTATATACTGTATTGAATTTATATAACGATATAAATTCGTTAAGTAAATAATAATATTATTATTATTAGTAATATCTAATGTTATGTAATGTTAGACTAACAATAATTGAAACATTACTAAAACATTTTTAGCAATTTATACTTTATATAAAATTTATACTAAACCAGTTGAGAATGCTTTAAAAGCATTTCCACACGAATTCCTTAACTTAAAAAGGAAAAAATTTAAAAAAAAATAAAAAAAAACAGTTGAGAATGCTTCAAAAGCATTCCCATACGATCTCCTTAACTTAAAAAAGAAAAAAAACCAAAAAAAAAAATCAAAAAAAAATCAACAACAAAAAATCAAAAAAAAATTTTGTAGCGGAGCCTGGATTCGAACCTATGTCCTCGTGGGACAGACAGACAGACAGACAGACTTTTAGAATGCATATACGTATTCCTTTCAGGAATTCGTGAAAAATAAAATATAATTATCATTGTTTAGTACCATATACTGTATACAGTGTTTAATTAATTTGATTGTCTGTGAATCATTATTATTATTATTTATTTATTTATTGTTTAGACTGTATTAAAGTACATTTATTTCAAAATGTTAGTGCAATCATATTTTAATAATAAATTATATTTACAGTTGTATGGCTTCATATTATTTATATATATTTTATTTGTATTATCATAATAACACATAAAATGGTCTATTGATAATAAACTATTAAAAAAAATAATTTTAAAAAATGTTATAACTTATCAGTTATATATATAGCAAAATAATAAAATAACACTTTAATCTAAATGATTATATTTAATATATATATATATATATATATATATATATATATATATATATATGAGTTAATTAATTAAATAAAACAACTTAAATAAAACTTTATATTGTAATAATTTTTAACTCTTAATTAAAAATGTTATGTTTATTATAAATAATAAAATTTATTTAATTAAAAATATTAATAAACATACTTATTAGTACATATTTGGATAAATGTATTAAAATATTATTATAGAGCAATAATTTATATAATATAAATATTTTTAAAGATATTATTTATATATATTTTTTTGTATTATCATAATAACACATAAAATGGTTTATTGATAATAAACTATAAAAAAATAATTTTAAAAATTGTTAAAATTATCAGTTATATATAGCAAAATAATAAAATAACACTTTAATTTAAATGATCATATTTAATAATATATATATATATATGAGTTAATTAATTAAATAAAAAAAATTAAATAAAACTTTATATTGTAATAATTTTTAACTTTTAATTAAAAATATTATGTTTATTATAAATAATATAATTTATTTAATTGAATATTAAAATACATACTTATAAGTATTGATACATATGATAAATGTATTAAAATATTATTATAGAGCAATAATTTATAAAATATAAATTTATTTTTTGTTTTAAACTTAAATTTTAAATTTTAATTGGGGGCCAATTAAATTTTATTATTAGTAAATAAGTTGAATAAATGAAAAAAATAATTAATCTTTAAATAAAATAAAACTATTTATGTAATTATTATGTAATGTTTTATATAAAAAAAATAATTAAAATAAATTAAATTAATGTTTAGTCGGCATACGGATGACAACATTTGCCGTATTATTAGTTTTGCTAATATCGTAGGTGTGCTCAAAGGCTATCGATTCCAATGGTTGTCGCGGAGCTATACGTGGTTCCTCCCGGAGCTCCGGGGGCGGCCGTTTGGCAATGGCCAGCATACAGTCAATCTGATCGTTTTCACGATCAATACCCAGCAGTTCGTAGGCCCGGTCGTAGTCAAAACCGGCCATAGCGTGTACAACCAGATCACGGGCCGCACCTTCCAGTGCCAGTGCCATACAAGCGGCTCCCGTATCGAAACTGTGTGTCGGATTTGCCATACGATACGATCGGTCGCCTTTCATATGAAACCATTTATGGGATACAACTACGACCAGTGCACTGGTATTGTAGGCCCACTGGCGATTCAGTTGCCACAGTAGGTCATAGAATTTCGGATACGGTTCCTCTTTGTCAGGGGTAGTAGTAGTGGTGGTGTTTTTTAGGGCATAGATAAATCGCCATGGTTGCTGATTGTAGAACGAGGGTGCCCAACGGGCCGCCTCAAACAGGGCCAGCAGTTCCTCACGGCTAACGGGTTGGTCGGATAGTTGACGCGGTGATGTACGCGATAGTATTAACGGATGTATCGGATAGGTTGGTTGGCGACCCTATTTGAATGTACCAAAAAAATTATTAATATAATTAAATAATTAAAAAAACAATATATATATAAATTAAGCTAAAATTTACTTTCAAAAAGTATAAAACAATGAAATTTTTAAAAAAATTATATATTTATAGTTTAGACTTTATACTGGTTATCTAACTAATCGATACTATTTTTATTTATAAAAAAAATTAATTATTTTTTGTAAAAAAAATATTTAAAATATATACTCACTTTCATTACAAACTCGTCGTAATGATATTTGCTGTTTTCGGTTACATTTTTTATTGAATTTTTAAAATCATTATTAGTATTATTATGATTACTATTGATATCTAAATTATCTGATTTTATTGAATCCATATTATTATTAGTAGTAGTGTTTAAGTTTCGTTGACCAGTGCGAGACATATTTGACATTGCTAAAATATAAATTTAAAAATATATATATATATTAATTTTAATATCATATTAACAAAAAAAAAATTATTAATAAAATATTTTAAAAATTGTAATGAAATATTTAAAAAAAAAAATCATTTAACTTACAATGTTGTTCAACAATATTGTTTTTGAAGTCAATTGTATTGAAACTTTTATTATTTCTAATAATAATATTAAATAATTTGATATTATTTTTCAAATATATAGACATTTATCAATTCTAGATCAATGAATATACAGATATTTTACTAAATGTTAACTTATTTTTATACCATTAAATATAAGTTAAGTACAAAAAAAATTAATTTTTTATCAAGCTAGATTATCATTCAGTATTATCATTAATTTATTATTTAAAACTTTAAGTTCAATTGAGTTTTTTTTTATATTACTTATCATCTATAATATAATCTTATTATTAATATAATTGCAGATAAATTTTGATTAAAAACAAATTTGTCAATTTAAGTACATTTAGATGATAATGTTTTATTATTGTTAAATTTACTAAATTACATATAAACTAAATACTTAAAGTTAAATGTCATTATAATTTTTTTTTATTAACTTATACATAGTTACATAAATATAATGTATATATTATATATATAAGATTAATATCCATAGTTTTATCTGATTTACTGTAGTACTCAAGCTTTTAGTACAATATTTTTTTAATTACATAATATAGTTGAAATAATTTTGATATACATTAACAAACAATTGTTAGATTTATTGTTAACTTTAGTACATTATAGTAACTTATGTAATAATAGTGCAATATTTTGTGACTAATAATTTGCTTTTTAATTTATTATTATTAAATATCTAGTTTTTTTTTAAATGTATTCAATCAAATTTTAATAATTATTTTTTTTAAATGTTGCTTGGTAGATTTAATATAAATTATTTTATTTTTTTAAATATTTTTTTTTAAATAACATTGTTTATTTGATGATAACAATCAGATGAATCTGGTTATTTTAATATATTAAATTTGAATCATTTTAAGTTATTTATTCAATAATTATATTATTGATATTTAATTTATTAAAAAATATTAGCATTTTTAATTAAGAAACAGTTAATTAATTCTAAATAATTATATTAAATATAGTAAATATTTTAGTGTTTACTTTAATAGATTATATCAATAAAATACCAGTTATTATATTTAACTAAATTTTTATATTAATAAATTTATGGTAAATTAATAAAAATTATTAATATTATTTTGAGTTTTTTTGAGTTATTTATTTTAATTTATTAACTATGAATAACAAAAAAATTATTTATTATTAATTTATTTTTTTTGATAATTAATTAACATTTTATAGAAAATTTTGAAAATATAAATGTGACTATTATTAAATATAATTAAAATTATGCAAATTTTTAAGCATTAAATAAATATTAATTTGATTTTTACAAACATTTTCATTTATTATTATTCAAGTCTAGTATTTTTACTATTTTTATATCAATATAATTATAAAATTGTTAATATTTTTGATTTCAAACAAAAAAAATTATTGATTTGAAGGTTAATTCGTTTATATATTTTATAAAATATATGATAAAAAAATATTGTTTGTCTAATTTAATATTATTCACATAATTATATTTATATAATATAAATACAGTATATTTAAGATATAAGCTATAATTTTTTTAGACACTATTTGAAAACATCAAAAAACGCTAATATGTTTTTAATTATTTATAAAAATTTTATATACAAGTATTTTATACAATATATTATATATATACAGTATATAATAAAATGTAATAACAATTTGTTATGAAACAAGTCATATGTTTTCTATTGTATTAAATTATGAGTTATTTGCTAAAAATAATTAATAGTTATAATAAATATATTTTTTTCTATGAAAAATATTAATAATAATAATAATAATAATAATAATAATAATAATGATAAATTGTTTTTATAAACTAATTTAAACATATATATATATATATATATGTTTAGTACAAAGTTTTAGTATTAGTATTAAATTTAGTACTAAATTTAATAGTTTATTATTAACAAACAATATTTATTTTAATTATTATTATTATTAACAAACATGTATTGATTTTTTAGTTTAAAAAAATATGAATTTTTAGTTTTTTAAAAATTTAATTACATTTGTTAACTGATAATTTTATTATATAACTGTTTTTTAAAATAAATAATAAACTGTAAACTAATAAAGTATACAATTTAATGGTAATTGAAAATTGTTTGTTTCTAACTTAATGAAAAACTTTCACTGCCAATATATATTTTAATATAAAATTTATAATTTTTTAATAAAAATTTATTGACTAAATAATGTGAAAATTTGTTTTAATTCATGGAAATATTTTATTTTTATTTTTAAAAAAATCCTTAATTAGGAAATTACATAAAAATATTTATTACTTATGCAAACAATATTGCAAACACTACTGTATATAAAATATGTTTATTACACTCAATTTATTAGCACTTTATTTATTTATTTATTTATTAAGTGTAAATATCAATGTTTTGATTATTACGACATTTAATTAAGTATAAAATTATCACTAATGTGATGATAATATTGTAAATTTAGCATAAACTTAACTTTTTAAAAAAAAAACATATATATATTGTTTAGATATTAAAACTAGTACATCTATAAAAAAATAAAATTATTAAAACAAAAATTTACATAAAGTTTGTTTTACGATAGATAATCTTTAATCTACATTTAGTTTAAATACTAATATATATAACATATTTAAAAAAAAATATTTGCTATTTTTAAAATTAGTATTCAAAGATAACATTTAAAAAAGTAATAAATAAATTTCAAATAAAAAATGATAATTTATTCTTAAAAAAATTGGTGTCTATTAGTTAAGGTTACTTAACCCCAAAAATTTAAAACGGAAATTAAATGACAAATTATACGCTATGTTGAGCATAAAATTGCTGTAAATTTTATTCAGTTAATTCAATTTATTTAAAAAAACAACTTTTACAAATAAAAAAAACATATTATATAAATTATACAATTTTATTATATCATAGACATTGAAAATATTTATTATGAATATATATATATATAAACTTTAAAAATTAAAATATTGAAATTAAAATTGAAAAAACAAACAAATTTCCCTTAAAGTGTTTTTTTAGATCAATATTAATAACAGTTTAATTAGTTTAAAAATATTTTTTGTAAAAAACAGTAAAATAATTAATTTTGTTTATATAACCAAATAAAAAAATTTAAATAAATTTTGCTACATTTTTATAAAAATATGCATAAGATAATATTATATAAAGTTTTATAAGATAACTTTTAATAATTTTTCATCAATTTTTCTATAATTATAAATATAGTATTACTTTCTATAAATTATTAGTATTTTTTAGAAAAAAATAATAAAACCAGAAATACAAACAAAAAAAAACAAATAAAATAATGAAAAATAATTATAATTTTGTTTTATTTATTTTTTTAAAAAAAACTAATCACCTAAGTTTAATGCTCAGTAATAAAATATAATATATAATAATTATATTTAACATTTTAATTGCTTAGTGATATCTTTATACAACAAATTTTTAGAAAAAACAAAAATAAATATTATTTAATACTTTATTTTTTAATCATTAATACACACTTTCAATATATGATTAACAATATATATATAATTAACTATTTTTGAATATCTGTAAATAGTACCTGATATTGAAGTTAAAAAAAATTAAAAAAAATTTTATTAGTAAATTTAGTAAAATATTTCAAGTATCACATTAGTGTACAGTTAAAATACAACATTTTGATTAATTATTATTATTATTATTACTTAGCATTAACTAATCAAACAAGTCATCTAACAATTTAAAAATATATATAAATAAAAATTTTATATTTATTTAATAATGATATTTTAATTATAATCTCTAGAAAAATACAAAATTATTCAATAGCCTCAATGCATACAATATTTATTGCTAAAAATACTAAAAATTATTATTATTATTATTATTTGCTAAATTTTGTATAAGCAATTATTAATGTTATTATTATTAATATGTTTGTAAATTTATATTGTTAAAAAAAATTTATTTACTGTATATTTATTAGTAAAACTTGCTAATGAACATATTAAAATCTATTACAATGTTATAGCTATAATAATAAATCATTAAATAATAATAATTATTATTCATATATATATATATAAACAAATAAAATATATACAAAATATTATATATATATATATATGTATATTAAGATATATACAATTATTACAGTAAACATTTTTAAAAATATATATACAAAAATTATCATTAAATTATAATTACAAATTTTTTATTGTATACATATATATATATATATATATAAGTATATTTGTATAAACATGTAACAATAATTATTATTATCTAGTTAAAATCATTTAAACATTGTACATTGTTTTTTTTTAAAAAGTTTATGGGTGTGGTAGATTTAAATGTTTTTGCTTTAAATAAGTAACAAAATAAAAAGATAATTAATTATAAATTAAAATTTGTTTTTTCAAAATTTCGTTTTTTATATTAAAATCGTTTTTTTAACATTAAATTTATTTACAGTGCATTTGAAATGGTTTTTTCACATATATTGCTGTGAATATACAGTAATTGATAAGTAGTTATATAGAAAATAAAGTTGCATTTATTATAAGATAACACGAAAATATTTATATATATATATATATATATATAAAAATTTATATCTACTATACTCTATATATACTGTAAATTATATATTTATATATATAGCTATAATTTTGGGTATTTCATGGAGTGGGTCTACCAACTACTACTATCCCCCTATTTATCTTGACTGACCTATTGCTTAAAATAGCACCGATAGGTAGATTGATTGACTTTTATATTTACTTGTATGTGTGTTAAATGCCAGTGCCAATGTTTGTGCTGTATATTATTATTATTATATGCCATGGATTGTCATACATATATATATATATATACAGTATAAATGATGATAATCATCACCACTATCTCATATGTACTACAAAAGTACATACAATGTATAACCTTGGGAACAATTTTTGTTTCATATATATATATACTGGTATATTGAAGGTTTCGGTGAGAGGACTGGTATCTTTTATACTTACAGTTCAAGTATGGAAAGTTATGTTATGCTATACACACTGTGTGTGTGTGTGTACTCAATGTATGCTTGGATTTTAAAGGTTTAATTACTTTTGGATACTCTCTCTCTCTCTCTCTCTCTCTTTCATATCAAACAAGTATTGCCTGAATAAGAGAGAGAGAGAGAGAGAGAGAGAGAGAGAGAGAGAGAGAGAGAGAGAGAGAGAGAGAGAGAGAGAGAGAGAGAGAGAGAGAGAGAGAGAGAGAGAGAGAGAGAGAGAGATTGCCTGTGGATATCCCAGAGATCCCAACCCATTGCCACTAATCGGCCAAAACTAAAGTAAAATTTTTCTCTCCCTATTTCTCTCTCTCTCTCTCACTGTCATTCACTCTCCCAGTGACTAAACTAAGCTAACCGTCCCCATAGACACTGTTCAATAGCCCTTTTACCGGAGTATTTACAAACAACACATACAGTCAGATATATATACAGTATATATATATATATATATATATATATATATATATATATATACAGAGAGACTCACACTTGTGTTTCACTGACATTAACAACAACTACTGAAAAACACATGTCTAGTACTTTACTGTACTTTACACTCTCCTACAGATAAGAGACATACCATACCATACCATACCAGTGCTATTTTCTTGCCAACACTTGACCATTGGCTGTATACAACAGGGGAACGGTATGTATGTGAGTTTGTGTCTGATAAAAGTGCAAACAATACAAATATGTGATCAAAAAAAATTTGTTGATTCAAACAAAGAGTTTGTTTTTCTGTGTGTTTTTGTTGATAAGATATATGAGTTGAAGAAAAATAAATAAATTGTTGTTAAAAACTTTTAAATGCATAAAAAGTTTAAAATTTAAAACCTTTTATTTTTTGAATAAACATTAATTATGTAATAATAATAATAAATAAATTACTAATATTTCATTGAAATATGTGAAGTACTTTAAAATAAAATTATTGTTATTTCAAAACTTTATTATTTTGAATTATTTTAAATAATATAATATTTAAAATAATATTTATTATTTATATGTAATACTAAAGTGCCAATAATATTATTTATAATAATAATAATAACAACAACAATAACAGTAATAATAATAATAATAATAATAGCATCGTAAACATATATCACATTAAAATTTATTAAATAATATTATTTGAAAACAAATTTATCAAATTTCGAAAAATCGTTTTTTTCAAATAATAATAATATTTATATTATTATTAATAATAATTTTACGCCAATTTTAAATTAATCAATAATTACTGAATAAATTTTACAAATAATTTATAATAATAATTATTATTATTTGTAATCTCAGCAAAAATCCAAGGCTTGATTAGTTTAGTGTAGTTGACTGACTGACTGACGACTATTCAACAAATGAAATAATAAATAATCACAAAATATATAAAAAACTACATGTGCTTAGCATTCAATTATAATTGCAATTATTACTGTATTAATAATAATAATAATAATAAAGTATTTAATAAATATGATTGCATTTCCCATTGACTACCATTGAAAAGTCAAATATATATATATATATACAGTACTGGTACAGTACATTGCAAACTTTGTATATTTACCCACTCACTCACTCAATAGTTTACAACATAGATAACTGTGCAAATTATATACAATTTATATATACTATATATATATATATATATATATGAACACTTAAAGCTCAATTCATCATTTATTAAATAAAAATTATTAAATACCATAACTATATGTGTGTGTATAAAGTCCAACATAACATAAAATAGTTAAGCGGTTCTCTATAATAATAATAATACTTAAATAATACATTGTGTTTATTATCAGCATTTTTGTTGTAATGTATTTATTAAACTTAATACTTATTTTATAATAATTGTTGAGTGTGTTTGTTGTTGTTATCATAATATCATATCTCAAATTTCAATGTACACAAAATGAGATATAAGATATAATAAGGGGTATTAAAAATATTTTTTTTTAATATAGTATACAATTTTGTTACGAATATCTCATACGATATAATATTTTATGATTTATATACATATATATATACAGTATATAATGTCTTCAAATAATAATAAATCAACTCATGTGATAACAAACAACAAATATGTATGTATAATATTTATCTAAAATATATATATATATATAATATAAAGTTTATTATTACTATTACTTGTGAACAAACAACAAAAAAGTTATATGACTTTAATTTAGTCGAAAGTTTAGTGATATTCAAGTAATCGTTTTATATTTAAAAAAAAAAATTATTTCATACATATCTAAAAGTATTTATCTCTCAAAGTCTCTCTAAATATCAACTGAAATAAGAAAATAAATATGAAAAATGATTTTACAAACAAAAAGCAAAAGAAAGAGAGAGTGTGTCTAATAAAATGAGTTTAAAGAGAGACACATAAAGAGAGAGAGAGAGAGAGAGAGAGAGAGAGAGAGAGAGAGCATAGATCTCTCTCCAATCAAACAACTAATTCATATCACTGTCTACTTTATATTGTTGCTCAAGAGGTACTCATATTTTTTGTGGTGATGTTATAGCCTATCTCTCTCTATATAGAAAAGTATACTAATATATATACATAGAAACTAAATGTTAAAAAAAATTGTAACATTTTTTTCATTAAATAAATATATATTAATATATTGTGAACAATCAAGAAAAATGATTGAATGAATCGAAAAATTGTTTAAAAAAATAAAAACTTTTATTCATAGTATATGTGTATTGAATAAAATATGTGATCTAAATGTTATGTATGTTATGAAAATCAAGTGCCTTATAATTGCCAATAATTTTTTATTTTTTTAATTCAAATAATTTAAAGTGTTATACGAAATAATTTTTTCAATAATAATAATTTGTTAGTTAAAAACTATTATATAATCAAAAAATTTTATAAAAAAAATGTTATTATTATTTATTTAATAACCTAATGAAAGTACAACAATAGACAACAATAATAACAACAAAATTTATATAATTATTATTACTACTAGAAATAAATTGATTTTTATTTTGATTTATAAAATAATTCAATTTTTTTTATCAATTATAATAATCTTTAAAAAAAAACTTTAGTTTTGTTATAATAATAGTTTTATACAAAAAAAAATTAATCATCACCAAAAAAAATTTAAATCAACAAATCAATATTTTTTATATAATATTTATTATTATTATTAATAAAAATAACATATTTATAATAAAAATAACTCTTCCTATATTGACTTTAAAGTGCCATAAAAAATTGCTCATCAAATAATTGCAGCAAAAATAATATTAATAATAATAATTTTTAATATATAGTTTATTATTTATGTGTATATTTATTTAATTTTAAAAAATAATAAATTTTATCAATAATAAAATACTATATTTATAATAATAATAATAATTATAAATTGATATACAAGTGCTATATATATATATTAAAAAAATAAAATAATAAAATTTATATAAACATGGAAGTGTTGTCACGTTTTAATAGATATCTATCAAATAATTATATTATTTTGGTGATACTGGTGCTAATTAGTACACTTTATATAGACATTTGCAATGCCGTACCCCAAAAACCACCCGGGTATTTTGCCAGAAAACTTGATGAATATTTCGGTACAATCAAATGTATGGCCAATATTATGGAGGATCTCATGCCAGGTATATATTTAGTGATTTTATTTATTATTATTTTTGTTTGTAATTTATTTTTCTATAGTTAAAAAAATTACTTTTAAATACTAGACTGTATTTATATTTTAAAAAAAAAATTATTATAGAAATACTAATAGTGCAATAATATATTTTATAGTTTTGTTTATTTAAGATATTTTTTTTAAAAATAAAATAGTCTAATAACTAGAATAATAATTATTTAAATATTATTTAATTTAAAAACTAACAAAATATTTGTAATAATTTAAATAATCAAACTGAACTTTAACCATTTCTATTTTTTATATAAAAAAATAAAATTTTCAAATAAATATTAATTACAGTTTATTTGAAAATAAAAAATAAAGTTATGATATATAAAAATTTATATTAAATGTATTTAATTAAATGAATCTTTGTTAAAAAATTAACGATAATTTGTTGATAACTACAAATAAGATTGCAATTCAAGTACAAATTAATTTTAGATAATAACAAATGTGTGTGAATTGGATGTATTTAAAATGTCAGTAATGATAATATTTATTTAGATGATAAAAAAAAATTTATTAAAAAAGATTTATTAAATACGTATATCTTTAAAAACTGTTAAAATAATATATTAATAAAAACATTTACCTTGTCAAATTAAATTAAATATTATTATTATTATTATTGTTAACAATTTATGTTACTATCTTGTTTATATACTATAAATTTTTAAAATATATAATTTTGATATTTTTTCGTAAATATATATTTTATATATATTTATAAACTTTATTTATTATGTTTATTGAGAATATTATAATATTTAGAGAAATACGATACAATAATTTTGATAATAATTAAAATTGATAACAAATTTAATTTATTAGTTTATTTTAATATTAGAAATTAAAATAAAATACATTATTCAATGAGTAAAAGTACATTACAAGTCCATTAAAAATAGCTAAAATAAATCATTAAAATATTAAGTTAATAACAAAACAATACAAAAATTCTTTTGTTATCTAAAAAAATTAAAAACAAAAAATTTATAATTTGCATAATTTATGTGTAAGAAAACAAAAAACAAATATATATATATATATATATATATTATGGACATTAAATTATTAATATTATTAAATGTATTTTAAAAATAAAAGTTATTACATATTTTCAATGCCAACAACTTTTCCTTTTATTTAAATACATAATAAATACTAATGAAAAATGTTTTTATAAATCTTATGATAAAGTTTTTTGTTTTCTCTCTCTCTCTCTCTCTCTCTCTCTCTCTCTCTATTTATTAACATTTTTGCCGTTAATTTTATTTAACACAAATTGTTTTGTCGAGCATTTGTTAGAAAAAACTAGTGTTTTTCCTCTTTGTTTTATATATATGTATATACAGTATAATTGAAAAAAATAAACACAAATAATATATTGTATATAAAGTTCGGTATAAATAAAAAAAGAAAATTTCTTATTAAGTAATACACAATAATAATAATAATAATAATAATCAAAAATATATTTAATTTCAATTTAAATAATAAAAGGTGAAAAATATTTTTAATAATAATAATAAGTGTAAAATTTATATATCATTAGTTGACTTAGTAGTACACAATTGAAAATATAATAAACAATAATAATAATAATAACACTTAACTAATAAAATAGTGAATAATAAACAAAAATAAACAAAACAAAACATTTTACTACAAATTAAGACAATAAGTTTTTTTTCAAATTTCATAATTAGTATTATTTACTTTAAAAAATATAGTAATTGTTTTTTAATAATAACTTAAAATTTACCTTAATAATTTTAGTACATTTAACTTAAACATTTAATTTAAATAACTTATAAAATATTAATCCTAGTATCAAATATTTAAAAATAATTTATTATATAAAAAATTTAAAAAATATTAATACAATGATACCTTTGTTTGTATTTATTAATTAATTAGAAATATTTATTTATATAATCTTAATAAAAAATTATTTATCAACTTTTATTAAGATTATAATTTACTAAACCTATATTGTTTTTTAAATATAAATTATAAAAATAAATTTATAATGATAATAATATTAACAATATACATGTATTTTTTCAATAAAAAACCTAATAATTAAAATTTTTAACCAAAACATTTATTTACTAGTAATGTAAAAAATAACTCAAATTACATAACTTAAATAAATATCAATAATAGTTATTGACTTAAATAATCTATTATTAAATATATTTACAAAAACTAATATAAATAATATAAAAAATCAATGTCATTGCGTAATATTTTTAAAAAAATTAAAGTTATGTGTGTCCGGTTAAATAATAGTGTACAATACAAATACAATTAATTAAATAATTATTAATAAAAAAAATTTTGTTGTTGAGGAAATTTACTTGTTTGCTTATTAATTATTTAAATAAATATAAATTAAACAATGTATGTATGAGTCATTTTATAAATTATGATTATTTGCAAATTGCAATAACATACAAACATATTGCAAATAATTTTTTTTTTAAATAATTGTTTAACAATAAATCTAAAAATAATTATTATTAAGCTTAGCTAAATTAAATATTTATTAATTAAAAATAAATAAATACAAAATTGTTATAAATGTTATATGCACAAATTAATTAAAACTATCTAGTTAATTAATATAATAGAAATTAAAAAAAATATTATTAATATAATTTATTAAATTAATAATTAAAAAAATATTCATGCAAACTATTGTAAATAAAACTGTAAAAAAATATTTTTCATTAATCATATATGACTAACAAAATTGCTTATTATATAAAAAGTTTGACTTTAAGGCTCAGTTTTTTAATTATTCAAAAATAAATTTGAGTAATTATCATATAATAAACTATACTAGTACATTTTATTTAAATAAATTTTAGTCTATAAAATTGAAATTTTTTTTTAGATTAAATTAATTTAAAAGTAATTCTTTTATATATAAAATAATATAAAATTAATTATTAATTTTTGTTTATAATTATTTTATTTTTTTTTTGTTGACTCCCAGAGCCCAATACACTGGTATTTTGTTGTGGCGTATGGCTAATGCACGATATGATGTCGTCGATGGTATTGGACTCGTGCTATGAACATAACTACCATCAGGTGCGCAATCTTACCCAACCGTTTATCGAGCACATGGAGGCCCAATGTTGGGACTATCCGCGCGATGCGTTTGCCTGCAAGTTCCTGATCATTACGCCCATCACAATACTAGTACTATTGATACTATTGATGCTTACCCTAAGTATCTGTGCAATTGTTACGTGTGTCCGACTCCGACGGTATCAAAGTTTATATGATTTTAATAAAAGTCAAGCTTTCGATAGCGATATCACTGACGAAACGACAGACGAAACGGCCGTACAGTCGATGGACGTCAAGAAAAAGCCAATCGATGTCTAATTTGTTATATATTTTTTTAAATAAATATAAAAAATACATTAATTTAATAATAATAATTAGTCTGCATTTTATTATCTACTGTTCCCACTAAAAATATATGACATAAATCTATTAGTTATTTGTTTGACTGTATTGACTCTATAGAAAAAATATATATAATTTTTTGTAATTATATTATTATTATTATTAAATGCAATCAAATGCCTATTTAATAGTGCCTTTAAAACTGTTGCCAAAAATTATATTTATAGAAAAAATTTAATTAATTAAATAATAATAATTATTATTATTGTACTTGCTCAACTATATATTTTTTTATAAAATAATTTTATATTTTATATAATTTATAATAACATTTTGTTAATATAATAATTGTTAGACAATATAATACTATTGTATAACATTAGACCAAGTACATATCAAACTAAATGTAAATAAATAATTTGATAATTAAAATAAAATAAATTAATAAATAATTTTATTTAAAGAAAAAAACAATGTTTTATAGTAAAGAGATTTTATTTCTAAAAATAAATTAATTGTATTTAACAAATAAAATAAATTATAAATTTTATTTTTATTTATTGATAATTAAATATCTTAAATAATAAAATTTATAATATAAATGTTATTTTTATTATAAACAAATATATTTTTTAAAAATAATGTGATGATATTAATTTTAATCAATTATATTTTTAATTATTAGTAAAGTTTTTTTCATTAAATGCTAGCATTTAATACTTATTATTGATTTGCTTTTTTGTCTATTTTTTAATTATAAATAATTTTTAATTGATTAATCGTATCACTTCTATAAGTGTAAAAATTATTTAATTTAAACTATTCCTAAAATAAATTTAATTTTTACAGTTTTTTTTAACTAAAATGATGTGTATTAGTTTATTTATAAAATTTTTGTTGTTGTTGTTTAAAATAACGTTAATAAAAATTTTTATATGTTAGTAGAGAAAAATAATTTTAAAACTATTAAATAAAAAACTTTTAAAAACTCACCGACAAATTATTGCAATATTTTAAACTTTGTTAAAACTATTATGAAATAAGTTATTAAATTTTATAATTAATGTAATACAATATTATAATTTTATTTAATAAAATTACTTTTTTCATAAGTATAATATAATATAAAAAAGTACTATAAATACAAAAAACTGTAATAAAATAATTTTTTATAAGTTATACTAATTTGGAAAAAAATTAAACTTTAATTAATTGATTGTTTCTATGATTTTATGTTTTCTTCAAAGAATTTAACAGAAAAACTGTAAATCTATAAAACTTTTATATAAAAACTTTTATATATATTACTTGTAAATATAGCATAAATAATAAACTGTAAAATTTTAAAATTTTACATAATGGACTAAAATTAAAATTTTAGAATATTTAACTAGATTACGTGTAAACAGAAAATTTTTATAAATACACATTTTTAATTTATTAAATATTTAAATAAATCATTGTTAACATAATAAATTGTATTTTGAAATTAAGTTAAAATTATATTATTTTAAATAAAAATTCTATGATCTAAGTTTTAATTTCTAAAATAACATAAAAATTTTAAAAAAATATAATAAAAAATTTGATAAATAAATAATTATTTTACAAAAGATAATTACTGAAAATTATTTTTTTATAATATTTTTTTAAATTACTTTTATTTGAGGCGATGACTTAATTGCCCACCACGCCCCCCCACGCCCCCCACGCCCCCCTCGCCCCCCACAAAATATTTTAGTAAAACTTTTTTTTCTATGCCCACTTCGCCCCCCACAAAGCATTCAAATTGTTTTAAAAGCCCCCACGCCCCCTCGCCCCCCACAAAATATTTTATTACAAGTTAGTTTACTATGGCTCCCACAACTTATAATAAAACTTATATGCCCCCCACGCCCCCACAAAATATTTTATTAAAACTTTGTTTTTAATGCCCACCACCCCCCCCCCAAAAAAAAATATTTTGGAACTTATATGCCCCCACGCCCCCCACAAAATATAATACTAAAACTATTTTCAATGACTCGCCCCCCACGAAATATATGAAAACATATGACCACCACGCCCCCACAAAATATTTTAATAAAACTTAGTTTTTTATGGCCCTTTAGCCCCCCACGCCCACCACAAAAAATTAAAACTGTTTTAAAAGCCTCCTCGCCCCCCACAAAATATTTTTTTTAAAAACATTGTTATCTATACCCCACGCGGGAGAATATGGAAACAAATTTTATAATAAAAAAATATGTATATAAAACACTAATTTTGTTTGTTATTACAGTTTATAAGTTAATTAAATTTAATTATTAAATAAATTATACATTTAAAAAATCTGTTAATTACTAATTATATTAAAAACTATATACTTTAAACAATTATAAATAAAATTTTAACATAGTGACCAATGGTCATTTTTACTATTAATTATTAAAACTGACCATGTAATAATTTTAAAAAAAAATAAATCGTATTTATAATTTTATTAATAATATAATTTTAAGATTATAAAAAGTAATAATAGTAAACTATAATACATGTATTATAAAATAATTAAATTTAATTAACTTGTAAACTGTAATAACTAACAAAATTAGTGTTTTATATATATAGTGTTTTTTGTTATAAAAATTATTTCCAAATTATCCCGCGTGGGGTATAGAAAACAATATTTTTATCATATATTTTGTGGTGGGCGAGGGGGGCGTAGGGCTCATAAAAAACAATGTTTTAATAAAATATTTTGTGGGGGGCGTGGGGGGCATATAAGTTTTATTATAAGTTTTAACTAGTAAACTAATTTTATTAGGCATAGTAAACTAATTTTTAATAAAATATTTTGTGGGGGCGAGGGGGCGTGGGGGCTTTTAAAACAGTTTTAATGTTTTGTAGTGGGCGTGGTGGGCATGGAAAAAAATTTCTAGTAAAATATTTTGTGGGGGGCGAGGGGGGCGTGGGGGGCGTGGTGGGCAATTAAGTCATCGCCTTTATTTGATGGATACTAAATATTTTTGGGGAAAATCTTTTTATAACAACTTTAATAACAAGTATAAAAAAATTTACAGTTTTTTTCAATTATTAATTTATAACTTTTATTTTTAAAATTACTATTATATGTAAAATATTTTATTAATCATTTTCTGCAGTTTATTATTTATTAATTATTTAAAAAAACATATTCTTTAATAAAACATTAATAATTATTAATGTTTTAATTACTCATTTGCTAATTTTTTCAATTTATTTTATTAATTGTCATATAAAATAAAGCAATTGTACAAACAAATTGACTCACAGATGTTTAAGTTAACATTAATTAAGTTTAGATAAGTTTACTGGATGAAATTTATTAAATAAAAATTATAAACCTCATATAACTACATCTATGAGTCAATTTTCTACAATTACTTTATTTGTATGACTTATAAAAATAAATTAAAAATTAGCAAATGATTAATCAAAAAAATAATTATTATTAATGTTTTATTTGAGAAAATTTAATAAATAATAAACTGCATAAAATGAATTTTTGTCTATACTTGTATGGTATATACTATAAACTTATTAATTAAAAAAACTATACTAGTAAATTTTTTTATGTAAAATTTCTAGTCTAAATATCAAGTTTCTTAAAATAAATATTTTTAATTTACTAATTAATAGAAATAATTTTTGTAAGTGTTAAATACTATGATGATGATTATGAAATATGTGATAATTGAATAAACTTTTTAAGATAAACTGTAAATCAAATTAATTTTTAGAAAACTTTTTTTTAATAAATCTTTATTATACAATAATAGAAAACTTAAAATCGAGTCTTTTTTATGATATAATTTTTTTTTCTTATTTTGATAATTAAATATCTTAAATAATTAAATTGATACTTTCTAAATGTTATTTTTATTATAAACAAATATATAAAAATGCATTTATATAAAATAAAATGTGATCGTATTAATTTAAATCAATTATATTTTTAATTATTAGTAAAGTTTATTTTATTAAATGTTAGCATTTAATACTTACTATTGATTTGCTTTTGTAGTCTATTTTTAATTATAAATAATTTTTAATTGATTAATCCGATTACTTGTATAATTGTAAAAATTATTTAATTTAAACTATTCTTAAAAAAAATTAATTTTTACAGTTTTTTTAAACTAAAATGATATGTATTAGTTTATTTATAAAATTTTTGTTGTTGTTGTTTAAAATAACAATAATAAAAATTATTATCATTATTAGAGAAAAAAAATTCAATATTATTTAAGTACAGAAAATATATATTATTAAAATCAATTTAAAAATTTTAATATTGAAAATTGATTTTTATATTAACTATAATATCATAACTAACATCATTATTATAAATAATTATACTTTCATTAAATAAATATTATGTTTAATTATTAATTATATGAATCAACAATTATAAGTAAAAGTTTGTTATTTTTGGTTTTACAAAAATTAATTAGTAAAATATATTTAAAATATTGAATTTTATTATAATATGTTAGTACAGAAAAAACGTTAAAACTATTAAATAAAAAATTTTAAAAACTCACCTACAAATTATTGCAATATTTTAAACTTTGTTAAAACTATTATGAAATAAGTTATTAAATTTTATAATTAATGTAATATAATATTATAATTTTATTTAATAAAATTACTTTTTTCATAAGTATAATATAAAAAAGTACTATAAATACAAAAAACTGTAATAAAATAATTTTTTATAAGTTATACTAATTTGGAAAAAAATTAAACATTAATTAATTGATTGTTTCTATGATTTTATGTTTTCTTCAAAGAATTTAACAGAAAAACTGTAAATCTATAAAACTTTTATATAAAAAAAACTTATTGTAAAAACTTTTATATATATTACTTGTAAATATAGCATAAATAATAAACTGTAAAATTTTTAAATTTTACATAATAGACTAAAATTAAAATTTTAGAATATTTAACTAGATTACGTGTAAGCAGGAAATTTTTATAAATACACATTTTTAATTTATTAAATATTTAAATAAATCATTGTTAACATAATAAATTGCAATAATTGTAAATTGTATTTTGAAATTAAGTTAAAATTATATTATTTTAAACAAAAATTCTATGATCTAAGTTT